CACAAAAGGTATCCGCGGTCCCAAGCAAACATCCTCTTCACACTTCCCTTTCTCAGAATTTCTTAAACTGCTCAGCAGGCAGATAGTGTACAGCAAATATGTGAGGTTTACGGGTGACCTTTCTCAGCATTTTTCCTGAACCTCAATCCTTTCTGAAGGAGTAAAAACTGACCGTTCGCTGCAGGTTTAGCCAATTTAACCAGCACACACTTTATTAATGCATCAGGACAAGAACTGATGAAACACGAAATGAAACGGAGCAAGAATAAAAGTAAACATCACCTGAGGGGTGGCTACAGATCATTGTATTACAACAAATTTATAATAATAATAATAATAATAATAATAATAATAATAATTATTATTATTATTATTATTATTATTATTATTATTATTATTATTATTATTATCTGGATTAACTAACAATGACTCCCCACTGCTGCCTGCTTGCTTTACTATTGAGCATTTTGAGCAACACATTTGAATGGACTGTAGCTGAGGTTTCAGACTGAAAAACTTGAACCTTGGTCAGGCACTTTGTAGTCACAAATACAGAGGAATAAAGTCCTGTTTGCTGAGCCTCAGTCAGATCTGAATCACATTCAATTTTTAGTAAAGACTTAAACTGAAAGTGACTACTGAGGCTATAAACAAAAAAGCATGACGTGATGAGCAATATGGGAGTTATGGGCTTAGATAACTAAGGACATGTAAACTGTAGCTCTAGTTATTTTACAGATGCTACGACTTTACTGCACTGTACTGTACAACAAATACGTCTATGTTTGTGTTGTGATTTTTGTCATTAAGCTTAACCTTGGAGGAAAAAAATTACAACTTTTTTTTTAAAGACATAACACGACAAGGAGCAACGTTTCACATTTTGCAATTGGCAACGAACAGGCTGAATTAAATTTGAGTTAACCGGCTTCATTTTTTGTAATCTACCAGTAATTACTATAATAATAACGGACAAAACCGAGCGATAATTACTTATTGCCAGAAACATGTACCGCTTATTTGAATAGTCGTGTTCAATGACAACATGCTTCTGATATCCTAAGGCCTAACAAGCATTAACGTTACAAATATCATGTTTGTACCTATGTTTTTACGTTACAACTTTAGACACGGCACCCACTTTGAGTGGGTGAAAGCATATCTAACACAAAATCTGAATAAAACATGTACATTTTCTAACTGCCGTGCATTTGTGTGTTTATAGTGTCCTTGATTTGATGCTGTTTCCACTCCTGAGATTTGGCCAAGCAGCCAGCAGATCGAGATGGGTAATGTTAATGCCCGTAAACGCCTGCTCCATTAACTTGTAGTAGATCACCACAAGACGACCAGGGAATCCTATCAATTAAACCATATGACCGGTATTTGCCACCTAAAAGCTATGAAGGAAAGTGGAACAAGGGGCACCCAGGTGTCACACTGCTTCCAGTAAAGACGAACTTGCGGATGCACTGATTTGTGGGACGCGGAAAGAAAGTAGCCCTGTGAACTGGCTAATTTTGTAGTAGCCTGCTAATGTTAACCAAGTTAAACTGGGCTAACGTTTGCGAGCAGGTCAAGCTAATGATGAGCTAGCCCGACAGCTACGTTAGCTTAGCTTTAGGCTGCAAGCTCCTGAGTGGACCAAATGTGAACAACAATACGCGTTACCATAAAATCAGTCACTTACCAAACGTAATTAGTCCGTACTAATTGTTCCCACCTCCTCTAAACACAGCTGATCATAAGATTTCTCGAGTCAGTCAAGCGTTTGTTGGCGGTTAGCGGTCTCACACTGCCTTCTTCATTAGCGAACGCTGCTGTCATTTACTGTCATCACGAGGAGACCTGCGCAACGCGCATGCGCAAAAGAAAGCATTTGCGTCGTTAAAGGGACATTTCACGCTAAAATAGAAAACATGTTTAAACATCAGGTTTCCTGGAAATTAAGGAGGTTTAAACCTTCCTCTTGCGGTACCTTTCCGTTACTATCTCTTATGTTAACTGATCGGTTTTGACCCGTGTCTTAAATCAACCAAAGAATATCCTCAAAACAATGGTTTACCATGCAGTTTGATTGTTAGTTACCTTGTTATGCTTCCTTATCCATGAAAAGACTGGTTTTAATATTTTTCTTGTAGCTCCCAGGCCCTTTCCTTTTACAGCATATCTCGTTTCCATTCTAAAAATGTTTTTTAAAATAAAAGGGTGTTATGTTACCTTACTATCGTTGACAGGTAATAAAACACATCTCTAAAGAAAAAAAATGTATATATATATATATATATATATTAACCAGGTTTCATTTTTTTCTCTTAATCTGAGACTTGATTTTACATTTA